TTCCATATCTTGGCAATTGTAAATAACACTGGAATGAACATAGGGGAGCATATATTCTTTCAAATTAGTGTTTCAGATTTCTTTGGATATATTTCCAGAAGTGGGATCACTGGATCACAAGGCAGACCCATTTTTAATTTTTTTACGTAACTCCGTACTGCTCTCCACAGTGGCTGCACTCAGATTGTTGGGTTTTTTTTATCGTAGTAATATGCATTTAAGTTCTCCCTATGTTTTTTCATGGCTTGACAGCTGACTTCTTTTTCATGCGGAACAATGTTCCATTGTCTGGACGTACCACAGTTTATTTATCCATTTACCTAAAGACACCTTGGTTGTCTCCAAGCTTTGGCAATTAGGAACAAAACTGTTGTAAAAACATCCACATGCAGGTTTCGTGTGGACATAAGTTTTCAACTTATTTGGGTAAATACCAAGATCTAGCCTAATCTAATCATCAGAATTGCTGGATCATATGTTAAGAGTATGTTTAGTTGTGTAAGAAGCCAGCCAACTGTCTTCCAAAATGACCATACCGTTTTGCATTCCCACCAGCAATGAGTGAGAGCTCCTGTTGCTCCACATGCTGCCAGCATTTGGTGGTGTCAGTGTTCTGGATATTGGCCATTCTGATTAGGTGTGCAGTAATGTCCCACGGTTGTTTTCATTTGCATTTCCCTGATGACATATAATGTGCAGCATCTATTCATATGCTTATTTACCATCTGTATATAGTCTTTGGTGAGGTGTCTGTTAAAGTCTTTGGCCCAATTTTTAGTTATTTTCTTATTGTTAAGTTTCAAGTGTTTTTTATATTTTGGATAACAGTCATTCATCAGATGTGTCTTTTGCGAATATCATCTCCCAGTCTGTGGTTTGTCTTCTCATTTTCTTGATTAATGCTCTTTTAAAATTATGTACTCTACCTTCTGCATCGCTAACATATGCATATGATATTAGGTTCCTCTGTACAGCCCAGTGATTGGACATTTATATAATTTATAAAGTGATCACCCTGATAAATCTAGTGCCCACCTGATGCCATGCATAGTTTTTCATATTATTGACTATATTCCCTATGTTTTACTTTACATCCCTGGGTCTATTCTGTAACTACCAATTTGTACTTCTTAAATCCTCCCCGTTTTTCACCCATACCCCTAATCTCCTCCCATCTGGCAACCATCAAAATGTTCTCTATATCTATGAGTTTGTTTCTGTTTTGTTTGTTCATTTATTTTGTTTTGTAGATTCCACATATAAGTGAAACCATATGGTATTTGTCTTTCTCTGTCTGACTTACTTCCCTCAGCATAATAGATGTAGCATTTCTTTACCTCCTATTAGTGGGCATGTAAATTATTTCCAATTTTTTGCTGTTACTAACAATGCTGCAACAGAAATCCCTATAAAATATATCAGTTCCCACATGGGCAAATATATCTGTACAATAAATTCCTAGAAGTAGGATTGCTTTGGTCAAAGGGTGTGACTTTTATATATTTATACGTTTATTTCAGTACTCATGGAAAGAATAAACAACCTGAAATGTTGCCTTTGCTGGAAGGCCTCTTTGGAGTTTATCACAGAAACCATCAAGTGCTTGGCTTTGAAGTATTTGTCTTTTATCTTGATCTCCTGCAAGTTTGTTCCTTCTTTCCCCCAGTATGTATTAAGCAAATACTGTATACCAGGCATATTGGTAGGCTTTGGGGATAAAACCACAAACAAGGGAGACATGGTCACTGCCCTCATGATATTTATAGTTTGGGAGGTCAGGGTTGTGGGGGGAGAAAGAAAGAAAGAATTTACACCACAGAAATTAACACATGAAAGAAATAATTTTACACCAAGTCATTACAAAGTGTGTCAAATGCCATGAAGGAGAAGTACAATGTGACCAAAGGTGTTTACTAGGCTCCTGACTTTGGGGATCTGAGAAGACTTCCTAGAGGAAGTGATATATATTCTGATCAATGAGAGAGATCCAGGTAGATGGAGGAAATGGTAGGTTTGAAGGCTTGGAGTCAGAAAGAAGTGTACAGTAGGGCCAGCAGCCTGGATTATAGGATCAAGAAAGGGCTTTCAAGGTCATTTAACTCCAATCTCCCCACTTGACATGTGAACAAACTTAGGTTCAAAGAACTAAATGACTTGGTCAAGGTAATACAGATAGCAGCAGAGCCAGGACTAGCACCTGGCTCCTCTGGTATTTTTCAGATGGCGCTGTGCTGCAAAATGCAGCATGCCCATCCTGGGGTCTAGACACCTATGGGATAATTGCCTAGCTTCATGTGGAGGGAGTGTTTAAGTTCAGGTCCTGTGACTAGCAGCCTGACATGTTTGTTTCTCTTCACTAGTAAGAAACAGTTTGGGCAAGTGGCAGTGTAGCATTCGAGTGGGTTGTTTTAGTCCTCAGCATGCTTGTCTCTTCTCCAAATTTAGATAATAAATAATAATGATATTAATAACAGTGGTCATTTATATAGTGCTTGCTATATGTCAAATGCTGTTCTAAGCATTTTACATGTATTTCATTTAATCTTGACAATAATCCTACAAGGTAGGTATTATTATCACCCCATTTTACAGATGAAGAAATTGAAGCTCTGAAGGTCAAGGCATTTATTTGCTCAAGGTCGCAGAGCTAGTGAGTGGCAAAGCATGGACTCAGTCCAGGCAGTCTGGTTTTAAGGCCCACATACTTTTCCCAATCACTCTCAGTGTCAGCAGCAAAGTAGTAGACTCAGGTCTGGACCCTGAGCAGCTTTGTGCTTTAGAGGGCCCACACAACCCTAGCTGCACATAAGAACCACTTGAGGAGCTTGCCAAAAATGCTGGTGTCCAGGCCTCACCCTAGGTCATTTAAATCAGTCTCTAGGGGTGGATTCTAATCATTGATGGTTTTGAAAAGCTTCTCTAGTTAGTTCGATACACAGCTAAGGTTGAGAAGCACTGGAATATAGCCTTACCATTCCTTCTTCATTTGGATGTGTTTTAGTTCAAGCTGGTGCAACAAAATACTATAGGCTGGGAGGCTTAAACAACACTTCTCATAGTTCTGTAGGCTGGTAAGTCCAAGGTCAAGGTGGCAGTAGATTCAGTGTCTGGTGAGAACCTACTTCCTGGTTTGCAGGCAGCCACCTTCTTGCCATGTTCTCACATGGTTGAGTAAGAGAGATCATCTCTCTAAGTCTGTCATTATAAGGGCACTAATCCCATTCATGAGGGCTCCACCTTCATGACTTAATCATTTCCCAAAGGCCCCATCTCCACATAGCATCACACTGGGGATCAGGCCTTCAATATATGAATTGTGGGGGCACACAAACATTCAGTCCCTAGCAGGAGGCAACCAGCAATACATGTTTTCTTCTGTGTTCTGAATATCAGTTTAGTATGACACTTGTAGAGGCATTGATTCATACCACACCATGAGCTCCAGTCTTAGCATAAAGAATTCATTCAGCCCTGGCTGGTGTGGCTCAGTGGATTGAGCACCAGCCTGCAAACCAAAGGGTCACTGGTTCAATTCCCAGTCAGGGCACATGCCTGAGTTGTGGGCCAGGTCTGTGGTTGGGGGTGTGTGAGAGACAACCAGTTGATGTATCTCTCACATATTAATGTTTCTCTCCCTTGCTTCCCATCTCTCTAAAAATAAATATTTTTTTAAAAAAAGAATTCGTTCAGTGCCCTGGCTGGTGTTGCTCAGTTGGTTGGAGCATAGTCTCATAAACTGAAAGATCACGGGTTTGATTCCTGGTCAGGGCACATGCCTAGGTTGTGGATTTGGTCTTCTATCTGTATGCATAGAAAAACTGTCCACATACGAGAACAGTACCCAGTGGGGGCACATATGGGAGGTAACTAATGTTTCTCTCTCACATCAAGGTTTCTCTCCTTCTCTTCCCCCCTTCCCCTCTCTCTAAAATCAATGAGCATGTTCTTGGGTAAGGATTTAAAGAAAAAGAATTCATTCAGTGCACATGCTGTGGTAGCCACATTCAACGTTGATGTGTGGTAATAAGCGTATCAAGGGCTAAGATAAGATAGCATTCTCAGTGCTGGGCATCAGGAGACAGTGTAGCTTAGTGGTATAGAGCTTCATTCTGCATCAAACATACCCAAATTCAGATGGATGCTTTGTCTCTCATGTTCTGTAATTTGGGGATTTATCCTTTTACCAACTCTATTTTGTCATCTCTAAAATCTGGCTAATAAGATAATATTACCCATTTCGTGAGGTTTTTGTGAAGATTAAATGAGCCAGAACATGTAAAGGACTCAGTGTAATGCCTGGCACCTAACATTTGGTAAATATTGGCCTTTTTTTCTTTCTTTCTTTCTTTTTTTACTTCATGACAATTCATATATAGCTTATTTGAGCCTGGTCACAAGCAAACAGTTGTATTTGAGAAAAGCTACTAGTGACACTGATATTGAAGGAAATTTGGTTTGACATTTCCTAAGTGCCTGATATATGCAATCTTCGAAGGGTCCTAGGCCCTAAAGAGCTAGAACAGGGAGGAAGGCCCAGTACCTGCTCCCCTAAGCTGGCTGGCTGCCAGCCCAGATATTGTACCCAGATAACTCTTACCAGATAGACTGTACCATAGCAGAAGTCTAAACAAGGGGAGGAATCAGTTAAGGCAAGGAGATGGGGACACTCAAACAAGGTTAAGGACACGGGAGTGTGTGTTGATCGTATCCAGAGGGCATAGGCTGAGAAAGAATGTTAAGTGTGAGGTTGAGGCTGTCCCAAATGGCCGTTTCCTTCCAGGCAAAAGAAGCCACACATTTGTGAGTGATGTCATGACTTTACTGCATGTTAATATTCATTCCAAGCCCATGGAACAAGAAGAGCCCTGTGACAGCCATTCCTTGCCATCATCTTGGCCAGGAGCATGGCATCCAGAGTCCAGACTTGAGGGCCTGGCTACTTGGACTGGAATATTTATTTCCTGGTGACTAAATTACTTCATCCCATCTTCTATTTTCAGGCTCAGAGCCCCTACCTTCCCCACTGTGGGGGAGTAGACGTCCATTTCTCAGGAGCCACGGACTGCTTCCGGCAGATAGTGAAGGCCCAAGGGGTCCTGGGGCTCTGGAATGGATTGGCAGCCAACTTACTGAAGGTGAGAAGAGTCGTCACTCTCTACTGTTTCTTTACCTCTTCCAGTTCCTTTGCCACTCCACGTGTAGTTTGGATGGAGATGCCCACTCTAATATTGATGGTAACCAGAGGCCCATGAGTACAGCCTGGCTGTCAACCCTGAAGAGAGAAGACCTTGTGCAATGTTGGGGCATCTGATACCCCATCCCAGAGGAGCTAATCATTTAATGCAGAGGTTCCTACCATGGGGGTTCATGGACTCCCAATGGGAACCTAACCCCCATCCTAAAATTGTCTGCAAAAATGTGGATGTGTGTGCATGTGTGCCCCTCTCTGGGGAAAGGATCCATAGATTTCATCATATTCCCAAGAAACTCCATGACAAAAAAAAAAAAAGGTTAGGAACTCTGGATTACCCTGACCAGTGTGGCTCAGTAAGTTGGGCATTGGCCTGCAAAGCAGAAGGTCAGCTGTTCAATCCCTGGTCAGGGCACATACCTGGGTTCTGGGTTCAGTCCTGGTTGGGGCACATACAAGAAGGAACCAATCAATGTTTCTCTCCTTCTCTTTCTCCCTCCCTTCTCTTCCCTCTGAAAATAAATAAATAAAATCTTTTTTTTTTAAAGAGAACTCTGGATTAACCTTACATTAGTTGACACATAAACGGGTACAATCAAGACAGGCATATGTTGACAGAAAGTATCAGATTGTCTATGTGTATATTAATCCAGACCTATGCTTCCCCAGAGCCATTCAACTGCTCTGCCATTCCTCACCCCCCACCTGCCACCTTCCCTGATTCCAAAAAGAATTACCACATTGTATTATCCACAGCCTTTAACTCAGTTTACCCTGACTCAAGTTGATTGCAGACACATTGACACTTTAAGACTTTAACATGATTTTTATTTTATTTTTAAACAGATAGTTCCATATTTTGGAGTTATGTTTGGTACCTTTGAGTTCTGCAAGAGAATCTGTCTTTACCAAAATGGTTATATTGTGTCACCTCTGAGCTATAAATTGACCCCAGGGGTGGATCAGAGTTTGAAGCCTCAGGAATTACGAGAATTAAAGAAGTTCTTCAAAACTGGAAAACTAAACTCTAGAAAACCGACTCTTTAAAACTGAACGGAACTAGAAGTGCACTGACTGAAGGGGTGTTGCAATCACAGACAAATGTAGCCTCATAATTGCACACGTGTGGAGTGATAAGAGGGTACTCTGATCTGCTGCTCTTGGAAATGAGAAGATTCAGCCATACGCAACCTCTGAGCTCCAAACTGATGTGCCTGGGAACACCTGCACTGTGGGAAGGTTTCCCAACATGACCTTCTCATGATGGCGTTTCACCAGATTTTATAACAAAAGCTAGTAGTAATGATATGTGCTGTTTACACAATACCAAAGAAAGGGCATTGTTATGACACCTCAAAGCAACATGTAGTTGAAGTGGCTGAATAGAGACCATGTCATGCACTCAGGTCACAAGGTCATAGCTTTGCACTAACCCATATTGGCCCAGTTTTGCTCAATTTGACCTGAGATTTCCTACTCTAATCATTCTGGAATTCATAATCTTTGCTGACTTCTGAGTATACACATCACAGTGTAAACTATGCCTTATCAGAAGCTAAATGAAAGTGTTTAACATTTGAAAGTTATGACTATCATAGTAGAATCATCCGTTATTTAAATTTGAAGCATCCCAGACTTAGAACCTGGTATCTCAGGAAGGCAGTTTTTAGCATGACTGCTTATTCATGCCCCGAAAGACCTTCTTCCAGTTGAAGTCAAGTTTAAGTGGCCTGAATTCTCTGCCTTTTTAACTTGCTTTGCAAGCCTACCTTGAAAATGAATTTTTTAATCAACTTATGTTATTCTCACAAGACATCCCAGTTGCCTAGAAGGGATCAAATAGATCATTTTACACACATACCAAAAAAAAAAAATAACTGACAACAGTTTAGGCTAATTATCTCTATTAGATTTTTAAAAAGTCAAATTTTGGATTGTTTCACCTTGGGGATTTTGTGTCAAGTTTATATAACTGTACTTTCAATTAGTGTCTATCCATGCATTAAGCAATATCTAATATTATGATACTAATTTATACACAAGCTTTTAGTATGTTGAAAATATTTTTCTCTATTAAATTCATTTTCCAAATAAAAATGATGTGTTGGTCATTTCTTACTAATCCGAGTTACAAAACTATGGTTAAATATATACTGGCCAAAAATCTTTAAATTCTCAGAACCTTGTCCTATTGAAATATACCAAAATAACTCATTTTTCCAATTGTCATGGCAGATTGTGTTTTATGGGGAGTAGCAGTTAATATACACATGAAAATCTCATCTGTAGCCCAATCTATTAGAGTCTGAAGGATGGCAGACTCTTTACCCAGAGTGAATAGTTCCCATTTGTTACTCTTTATTTCCCTTGAGGTGAACAATTTTTTTAAATTCTGAAAAGTGCAAAAATTTTGTTTTAGTAAATCTAAAATTATAATGGTTACTTACCTCATATCAGTATCTTTAAAAATTTTTTATATGTATTGATTTTTAGAGAGAGGGAGAAAAAAAACATCAAGTTGCTGTTCCACTTATTTATGCATTTACTAGTTGCTTCTTGTATATGCCCTGACCTGAGATCAAACCCACAACCTTGACATATTGGGAAGATGTTCTAACTAACTGAGCTATGGGGCCAGGGCCTCATATCAATATCTTCTGTGTATTCTTCCACAGGTATGATGAAATAAATAGCTAAGCTCTTGCTACTGCCATGCACAGGAATGTTTTCTGAGCTGCTGTTTTGATTATTTTTTTAATTAAGGAGGGAAAAGCATATGCGTCATTTTTCTATTTTGAAAAGAACTCTTTAAAACTCTAGCTCCGGTCATGGTCAGAAAGCTCAGTTGGTTGGAGTGTCATCCTGATGCACCAAGGTTGTGGGTTTGAGCCCCAGTCAGGACACATACAAGAAGCAACCAGTGAATGCACAGATGAGTGGAGCAACAAATCAACGATTCTCTCCCTCTGTCTCTCTGTCTCTCCGTCCCCCTTCCCTCCCTTCCTCTATCTTAAAAAAAAAAACACCTCTAGCTCTGTTTCTAAAACAAACTTAGAGGCACTTCCATTTTCTCGGTGTTATAAAGGGAATGTTCTGCTTTATGGTTGGCAGTGTGCACCAAACTGGACTAAGTACTTTAGGAGAATTATATAAAGTGTGATGCAGTATTGATCCAGGAGTAACTTACAGTCTTCAGGAACAAAACTTACCTACATACATGAAATGGCTATGATTACAAAACAAATGCAAGCAAAGGCATGATAATGTGGTAACAGCTGGTTGCAAGATGGCCAGGGGTTCTGTGTACACTTACTGAATCAATGATTAACAGGACCGTTAGGTGAGAGGGACCAGTAATGGGCAGGAGGGTTTGGAGGTAATGAGTCTTGAACTAAGTTTTGAAGGAAGTGACAGGATATTAATTGGTTAAGAATAAGTTGAAGGGCACTAGAGGTTGAAGGCAGGTCATGTGCAGTGTCACAGAGAGGGAAGCGAGCAAAAGATGTTTGGGATAGAGTAAGAAAACTGGCTTCATGCATTTATTCAGCTGCTGGGTACTCTGGACCCAATGGTACATAAGTCAGATAAGGCCCTTGCCCTCCTAGAGCTTGCATTCTAGTAAAAGCAGCAGTCTATAAAGACATAAACAAATCAACGAGATTGTAATGGCATGAGGAAATACACAGGGTGCTTTATTAGAGAAATATGTGGAAGTGAGGGGAATGTTTTAAATCAGGGAGCCAGGAAAGGCCACTCTGAGATGTGACATTTGAGATGAGACCTGGGGGGTGAGAATGAGCTAACCATGCAAAGAGCTAGAGGGAACATTTCTGGCTGAGAAAGCAGAAGGTGCCAAAGTGGTGTTGGTAGTGGGGAAAGACTTAGTGAACAGAAAAGAGATGAGTGTAGCCAGCGTGATTTGTAAGTGAGTCAGTGTGCAAGAGGAGGCTGGATAGAGAGCCAGATCAGATGTGGCCATTTGGGCCACAGTAAGAAGTTAGATTTTACTCTAAATGCAGTGGTGAATCATTGAAGGTTTTTTGTTTTTTATTTATTTTTTAAAATATTTTATTTATTTATTTTTAGAGAGGGAAGGGAGGGAGGGAGATAGAGAGAGAGAGAGAAACATCAATGTGTGGTTGCTGGGGGTTCTGGCCTGCAACCCAGGAATGTACCCTGGCTGGGAATCGAACCTGGGACACTTTGGTTCCCAGCCCGCGCTCAATCCACTGAGCTACGCCAGCCAGGGCTTGGTTTTTTGTTTTTTAATATGTTGTAGTTAATTTTTTTTAAGATTTTATTTATTTATATTTATTTTTAGAGAGGGAAGGGAGGGAGAGAGAGAGAGAGAGAAACATCAATTTGCAGTTGCTGGGGGTTCTGGCCTGCAACCCAGGAATGTACCCTGGCTGGGAATCGAACCTGGGACACTTTGGTTCCCAGCCTGCGCTCAATCCACTGAGCTACGCCAGCCAGGACTTGTTGTAGTTAATTTTTAAAAAACATTTTTTTATTTATTTTTAGAGAGAGGGGGAGGAGAAAGAGAGGGAAACATCAATGTGTGGTTGCTTCTCATATGCCCCCTACTGGGGACCTGGTCCACAACCCAGGCATGTATCCTGACTGGGAGTCAAACCAGCAACCCTTTAGTTTGCAGGCCCATGCTCAATCTACTGAGCTACACCAGCCAGGGTTCATTGAAGGTTCTTGTGCTGAGAAGATAAAATCTGACTTTCAGTTTTAAAATTTCCTTCTGCTTGCTCTGTGGATAATAGATTGGAGGGAAGTGAGGCTGTGAGTGGAAAGACTAGTGAAGAGACTATTACAAAATCCAAGTAAGACATGATGGCTTGGACTAGAATGGTAGCAATAAACATGGAAAGGAGTGAATGGGTTCAAGACCTACTTTGGAGTGGGGCTCAGCAGGATTTGCTGGACAATCAAATGTAGGGAATAAAAAGAAGGAATCAAAATGGCACCTAGGTTTTTGGCTTTTGACTTGACTAACAAGGTAGATAATGTCGCCATTTGCTAATGTGGGAAAGACTGGTAAGGGCCAGAGTTTTGGTGGAGAAGGAATTCAAAGGTCTCTTTCGGCCCTGGCTGGTGCGGCTCAGTGGACTGAGTGCTGGCTTGGGAACCAAAGGGTCGCCAGTCTGATTCCCAGTCAGGGCACATGTCTAGGCTTCAGGCTAGGTCCCTTGTAGGGGGTGCACAAGAGGCAACCACACACTGATGTTTCTCTTCTCCTCTTTCTCCCTCCCTTCCCCTCTCTCTGAAAAATAAATAAATAAAATCTTTTTTAAAAAAGGTCTCTTTTGGAAATGTTAAATTCAAAATGCCCTATGAGATATCCAAGTAGACAGCTGTCTCGAGTGTTGACTGTATTATTGTCCAAATCACTTGTGGTAGACAGAATAATGACCCCCCCCCCCGCCCCCGCAAGGGTCTCCAAACCCTAATCCCTAGAATATGTGAACATTTATCTTACATTTATCTTGGCAAGCGGGGCTTTGCATCTGTGATTAAGGTTGAGATTATCATGGTTTATCTGGGTGGGCCCAATCACAAGTCCTTGAAGTTGGGAGATAGGTGGAAGAATGGGGCACAAGAGGTGGAAGAAATGGGGCAAGAAGAACTTTACTCATGCCAACTGTTGCTGGCTTTGAAGACAAAGGTGCCCAGGAACCAAGGGATGGGTGTGACCTCTAGAAACTGAGCATAACCTTCAGCTGACTGCCAGCAAGGAAATGGGGACCTTGGTCTTACAACCACAAGGAACTGAATTCAGCCAACAACCTGAATGAGCCGGAAAACAGACTTTCTCTGACACCAGAATGGTTCCAGAAGGGACCCATTCTGGCCAGACACCTTGAGTTTAGCCCACTGAGACCCACGTCAGACTTCTTATCTCCATAACTGTAAGGTAATAAATTTGTCTTGATTAAGTCACTGAGTTTGCAGTAATTTCTTACAGCAGCAATGGAAAACAAATATTTCAGGACACTTAATAATAAACCAGAAATGTCCTGGGCAAAACCTGGAAAAGTCTGCAGTTCAGGGGAGAGTAGTGACTTGAGACAGAAATTTGGGTGTCATCAGTACATAGATGGCATTTAAAGCCAAGAGACTGAATGAGACCACCAAAGGAGTGGATGGGAAGAAACCCCTGGCAGAGACAGAAACAATAAAAAAATGACTAAACAAAGGCCTCAAGGCCCTGGCTGGGTGGCTTAGTTGGTGTGCCTTCCCATGCAGCAAAAGGGTTGCAGGTTCAATACCTGATCAGGGCGCACTGGTATTTCTCCCTCCCTCTCTCTCTCTCTCTCTCTCTCTCTCTCTCTCTCTCCCTCTCTCCCTCTCTCCCTCTCTCTCTCTCTCCCTCTTTCCCTCTCTCTCTCTCTCTCTCAAATCATTAAACATATCCTTGGGTGAGGATTTTTTTTTAAGTGGCCTCAAGCAAGATGTGGAGGAACTGGGACTCTTGTGCCCTGCTATTAGGGATCCAAAATGGTACAATTGCCCTGACTGGTGTGGCTCAGTGGATTGAGCGCCAGCCTGTGAACCAAAGGGTCACAGGTTCAAGGCACATGCCTGAGTCAGGGCACATGCCTGGAGTTGCAGGTCAGGTCCCCAGTGGGGGGTATGCGAGAGGCAACCACACATTGATGTTTCTCTCCTTCTCTTTCTCTCTCCCTTCCCCTCTCTAAAAATAAATAAAATCTTTAAAAAAATAAAAGAATTGACTATTGATTCACAAAAAGGATGGATGAATCTCAATATATAGGGAAAGAAGCCAGATACCTCCCCAAGGGCACATACTTTATGATTCCATTTATATGAAATTCTAGAAAAAGATAAACTAACTTACAGTGACAGAAAGCAGACCAGTGGTTGTTTAGGGAGAAAAGGAAGGATTACAGTGGGGCACAAGGAAAATTTAGTTGGTGATGGATATGTTCACTATCTTAATTGTGATGTCTTCATGGGTGTACACATATGTAAAAGAACTTAGCAATTGTACACTTTGAATATGTACAGTTTTGCCCTAGCTGATATGGCGCAGTGGATTGAGTGCTGACC